TCATTGACTTATTTAATCATTCTGTTACTGTTGAACTTTCAGTTGTACCTAAATTATGTTACAATAAGCACTACTTTAGTAAACATATTTGTACGTAAATTATTGTTTGTGCCGGCTTTTTCCCTTTCATAATATTGTAAGTGGAATTCCTATAAGCAAAATTATTGACTCGAGGAAGAGAACATTTTTAAGGATCTTGATAAGTATTGCCGAGTTGTTGCATTTTACCGAAAGTATATTACAGTGGCTAACACAACTTGTTTTCATTAGCATAGGGTATTCTGTTCTTTAAAAATCTTTGCTAACTTTATAGGTGGGGATGAATATATTTGTATATTTATATGTATTTTATTATTGTGTTTTTTGCTACGAATTCCGTGTTACCCATTCTTTTTCTGGATTATGAGTCTACAGAAAGCAAGAATTTTGTCTTTTTAGGTGTAACCTTTTCTGAGGATATTTTTATCAAATTTTAGCAGTTTCTGCACAACTCACATCCATAATTTTGGAGGTGATCCCAAGAAAACACTACTAGCGAGTGGAAGAGTAAGACAGAGAAAGGAAGGCAGGCAATGAATGGTGTATGAGCAAGCAAGTGACTGCTTAGGCAGCTGGGCTCCACCCCGCTGGGTAGCACTGGGAGGATTATTTTGACTGACGGGCAAGGGGACTGGGCATTTATCTCCCAACTCCCCAGCCATCATTGGTTGAAGGTTGATTCCAGGGTTGTGGCTTGCCTTGCATATGGGCCCAATGTGCTTCCATGGCCAGAAAAACATCCTTGAGCAGAGGTGCAGACAAGCGGTAAGCTGCCTGAGCCCTGGAGAGGTGCCCAGAGGACGAGTCCTGCTACAGCAGTTCACAGAATCCAAGCAGAGACACCGTGGGCTTCAGGACTCCCAGAGCTCGACCAGTGCTCTCCCCCAACTACTCATCTTGCTCCCTTCTGTGTCCCTAGCTGCTCCTGGCACACATAGGTGTTTAGTAAATAGTTACTAAATGTACTCTCGATTTCCACTGGAGTACATTGAGAATGCCATGTGTTCTACTTGTCTTGGAAGGAAAATGCTTGAGGTCCAGCAGTGTCTTAGCTGAACCATTTAGAACTAACAGCTGGGATATAAATGCCTATCCCAGCTACAGGTGAAACACTTGATGCTTTGACTATTTGAGAGGGATCCTGTAGTCATTCAGTAATTTATATTTTGCAAAGGCACACATTCTTTTTTAAAAAGATTTTATTTATTTTACTTTTAGAGAGAGGGGAAGGGAGGGAGCAAGAGAGGGAGAGAAACATCAATGTGTGGTTGCCTCTTGCATGCCCCCTACTGGGGACCTGGTAGGAAACCCAGGCACATGCCCCGACTAGGAATCGAACCAGTGACCTTTCAGTTCGCAGGCTGGTGCTCAATCCACTGAGCCACACCAGCCAGGGCTAAGGCACAAATTTGTATTGTGTGCCCCTGAGGTTTGTTTGGGAATCAACTGTCAAGTACATCAAGACAGGGTCTCCAAACAATTCTCTAGTTATTCTCACTGGAGCCGATGACCGGTTTCATTCACTCCGAGTATTTTCACTGTACATCTCTGTTACAGCATGCATCAGTATTATTTCTTTTTAGAAAATGTCAAATAACATTCCATTGTATGTAATACCACATCTTATTATCCAGTCATCAGTTGGTGGACACTTAGTTCCCACCCCTTCCCCCACTTGTTGGCTTTTACGGACAGTGCTACTACAACACGTGTGAGTTTTTGTGTGGTTTTCATTTTTCTTGCGTAGACGCCTAGGAATGGAACTGCCGGGTTGTATGGTAACTTTGCTGCTCTCTCATTTCACGTTTCCCCCAGCAATACCGGAGGGTTCCAATTTCTCCACATCCTCTTTGACATTTGTTATTGACTTTTTAGTTCCAGTATTGAACTGTTTAAGATCAGCAAACAAGGGTTGATAGAGCTTGGCAGCTTCTGTGCCTTGCCTGGTGGTCATGCATCCAGAAGACATTCGTTAAATATTTACTGAATGAATGGGAAAAACCCCACACTTTCGTGCTTTGTTGCCTTGGGTTTTACAAGTGCAGTCACAAGCTGCAGGGCTCACCATGACGCTGCAGGAAGTAGGAAGAATGAGGAACTCAGGTTTATGAGAAAGATAAGGGTCAGAAAAATTAGGTGATAGGTGAAACGTCCAGGTCCCTTACGTCCACCCAATGCAGGCTTCTCTCTATAATTCAACACTGGTTCTCTGTAAGTCTTTGAAATGCCCTATTAGTTAATGTACAAGAAAGAATGTTCTTAAGTTTCAGAGCTCTTAGATTTAGAAAACAAGACTCAGCACAAACTGACGGGATTGAATGTTTTTGGCAGTTGGGGTAGCTCGGATTGTGACTCCGAGGATTGGGGGGACCAGAGAGAGGGGTCTGGAGCAGTCTAAGAGAAGTCACTAGACTTTTCTTCTTCTCTAAAGTTTTTTTAATTGTATTTTTCTGTTACCATTTAACATCCTTCTACCCCTCCCTCTGCAATCAGCACAGCGCTGTCCGTGTCCATGAGTCCTTTTCTTCATTTTGCTTGATCCCTCATAGACTCCTAACTTCCGTAAGCAAATTCTTCATCTTTGAAGGAGAAACGGTAGCTGAGCATTTACAGGGTTGGAAAATTTAGGGAGGTTCAAAGACAACTGTGTATCAGGTGAGGGCTGATTATTTAGGTTTATAGATTGTATTATCTGAGCAAGAGCTAACAGGTAAAGACAGGTAATTAAATAACAGAGTTTTCTTACAATGTTTAGTTCTAATCAACTTCCTTTTCGTAACAGAAATTCTCAAACATACATGAAATACCAAGAAAACAGTATAAGCCCCTGTCACTCACCAATTAAAAATTAACAACAATTTGCCATTCTTATACATTTGACTTGTAAAAAATGTTTGAATATAGTCAGGCCTTCTTGAAAAGACATTTTTCCCCCTGCAGCTTTACTGAGCTATAACTTACAAGTAAAAATTGCATGTATTTAAAATGTACAACCTCATGACTCACGATATATATTTTTTAATGAAACATTCACAACCAAGCCAGTCAGCATCTCCATGACTTAACATCATAACCATTTTCCTTTTTTTAATGTTGAGTACACTCCAGATTTACTCTCTTAGCAGGTTTCAAGTTCACAATGCTGTGAACTACAGTCGCATTGCTGTAAACCTGTTCCGTAGAATGTATTCATCTTGCATGACAAAAACCTAAAGCCATTATTAACAACACTGTTTTAGCCAAGGGACCTGGGTAGTTATCAGAATAATTAAGTAACCTTGTTGTACACACCATGAACTTGTATCCTTTGCTCTTTCTTTTTTATGGTTCAAGGGAAGTGAAAGTGCTGAGGACATGAAATAACTGAAGACAGATGAGTGCGGATCTAGGATTTTGTTCCTTCAGGTCTACAGTCATTCAACCAGAACATTCTGGACACTTCTCTTCTTATTTCATTTTATTTTTTAATTACATTTATTGATTATGCTATTACGGTTGTCCTGAATTTTCCTCTATTTCTCCCCTCCACCCAGTACCCCCCCACTCCCTCAGGCAACCCCCCACCACTGTCCATGTGTCATTCATATAAATTCTTTGGCTCCTTCATTTCCTATACTGTACTTTACACGCCCATGGCTATTCTGTAACTATTTGCACTTCTGAATCCCCGCACCTCTTCACCCATGCACCCCCTCCTCCCTCCCATCTGGAAACCTTCTGGTATCGAACTTCTTTGCTCTTGTTTTTAAGAGTCTCTCTTTCTTTTTAACCTTTGGCCTTTTAATAATGATGTGTCTTGGAGTGGGTCTTTTTGCATCCATCATAATTGGGACTCTGTGCTTCCTGGACTTGCATATCTATTTCCTTTACCAAATTAGGGAAGTTTTCTGTCACTATTTTTTTCAGATAGATTTCCAATTTCTTGGTCTTTCTCTTCTCCTTCTGGCACTGCTATGAGGTGAATGTTGGACCTCTTAAAGTTGTCCCAAAGGCTGTTTATACTATCCTCATTTTCTCTATATTTTTTCTTCTCATTGTTCTGCATAGTTATTTTTGCTTATGTTCCAAATCATTGATTTGATTCTTAGCTTCATCCATTCTACCATTATTTCCCTGTAAATTGGTCTTTATTTCAATTGAATCCTTTGTTTATGAATGGGTCTTTTTTATGCTGCTGAGGTCCTCACTGAGTTCCTTGAGGAACCAGTATTTTGAACTCTGCATCTGATAGATTGCTTATCTCTATTTCGTTTAGCTCTTTTTCTGGAGTTTTGATCTGTTTTCATTTGGGCCGTGTCTGTCTCCTCCTTTTTGGCAGCCTCCTGTGTTTATTTCTATGTATTAGATAGAGCTGCGTTGACTCTGTGTCTTGGTAGTGTGGCTAGGACCTTTTCATGCACATTGACCGTCCACCCCTGAGACGGGCCATGCTGGCCTCTGAGTTGAGTCTTGCTCAAGTTTCATCATTTACTGACTCTAAGAAAGTTTTGTATTTGAGCTTCATCTTTCTCATGGGTAAAATAGGGATGATACCTTCTTGACTCAGGCCGTCTATACTTTTAACTGTAAGAAGGGATAATACCTTCTTACAGTTAAAAGTGAGGTAAGGTCCCCAGAAATGCACGTAACCGGTGTTCTGAAACATGTTCCATGTGCCACTCTTACACTGTTAGCTACCTTCTGAGAGCCTGATGAAGGAAATAATAAGGCATAAGGCAGTCTCTCTCTTTCCCCCCACACTAGGAGGGCAGCAACAGGTCAGATGCCAAAAGCCTGCCCCCCCCCCCCCCCCCCCGAGAATGCTCTCCATCTTCCAAATTTTTGAGTTCTTCTAATCACCTGTTAGCTTTCTTTAGGTAATCTGTGCTAAACCCTGTTGCTGTGGAGGTCAAATGCTCGCCCTCAGGTTGGAGGCCTTCCCACCACATCCTTCTTTGGTCCTGAGGAGGGCAGCGAGCCCAGAAGGCGCCAGCGAGGGCCTCCGGCAGCTTTCTCCGGGTCCTCTGAAAGCCGCCGGCCAGGGGGCGTTTTGAGCAGCAAGGGCGGACAAAGCCTCCCCTCTCCACGGCTCGGTGCCTTGGCTCGGAGCTGCAGTTCAGGTCAAGTTTGCGGCTAGATGTGAGCACCTGGGGGCCCGGTGGTTCGCCTACGCAGCTCCATCCATCCAGCAGTGCCCGTGGCCTCGCACTTGCGCGTGGCTTGCGGCAGCGGCCGCCCAGCCTCCCACTCCTCTCTCGGACCTCGGCGCCCGGCGTCTCCCAATTCCCGGCTCCCAGCAGGGGAGGCAGCGGCTGGAGCGGCGGCGGCGGCGCGCAGCGGGAGCCCAGACGCAGTGTGGCCGGGAGGTGGAGGCGGGGACCTGGCGGGCCGCCAGCGCCTGGCTCCCGGAAGCGGGTGGTTCCCCGGCTTCAGCGGAGCGGACCGGCGCGGTCGCCAGAGCTCCAGCATCCGCGTCTGCGCCTCCACGAGCCGCGGGATCTGCACCGCCGCCCGAGCAGCGCCACCCCAGCTCTCGGCTGCCTGGCTGGCAAGATGTTGCCGGAGTACGAGGAGGTGAAGAAGGCCAACCCGCTGCAGCACGCGAACCTCTGCTCGCGCGTGTTTTTCTGGTGAGCGCCCCGGCCCGAGCTGTGACACCCGCCGCGGATCGGCGCGTGCCCGACGCTGCCGGCCTCTTTGGGGGTGGGCGACCCAGGGTCGGGGAGCCGGGGCACTTGCCGCCGGCGCTTCTGGCTGCGGTGGGGGCTGTCCCACACCGGCCGCGTGGTCCGCAACTGCGCCCGGGCGCGCGGAGCGGGTGGGACCTGGTGGTGGGGACGCAGGGGCTCCCCGCCTTGCTGCTCGCGGCCCCGTCAGCCTCCAGGACCTGGGAAGAGAAGGAAAACGGAGGTTGCCTACTGGGAGAACGGGCTGGACCTCCCCCCTGCTCGGCACCTTCAGTCGGATTCTCCCTAACCGCTCAGGGATTCTCAGTTCTGAACAAAAGCCGCACCCTTTTCTTTCTAAGCAAGCAGCTTATGAACAGCTTCCTTTATGTAATTTCAGCCAAAGCCTAATTAGTGCCCAGGCCCCAATAGTTTCCCTGTACCTCTTTCTATATTTTTTATGTGGCACCCGAGTTGCAACTCCACGGGGCTCCGTGTGTGTCCGAGATCCTGTCTCTTGTCTCTCACGCTCCCTCTGACTCTTCATTCCTGTGTTTCTAACTGTGTGTCCTAGTAGCTAGTTGTGGCCAATTTCGTGTGGGTAAAAAACTCTCTTATTATTTATGTAATGAATGGGGGCACTTGAATATGATTTGCTTTTGCTTGGGACACACACATAGCCTTCCTTGACTGGCGTGCGTCGTTGACCAGCCCCTTTCCTGTTGTGAATATTTCCTTCCAACTTTGAGGACTAGCCTGGGGATAGGTCTTGGAGGGATCTCTCTAGCCTTTAGGGAAATGACCCAGGATCTTGATGCGGGGGTCCTGCCCAGGAGTCCTAAGGCCCTAAAACCACTGAAGGGTCCCTGAACTGGGGGGAAACACGGGTGAAAAACGGCCCACAGAGGTGAAGCGGCTAAGTTCTCCATCTAGCTAGCAGCTGGGACTTCAAATCAGGTGGGCCCCATTTTTTGGATTCAATCACATGGGTTGATTGTTTGATCTTTTGTTTCTCAGCCCTAACACTCTTTTCATCTTTCCCACTATTCTAGTATTACCTCCCTCCCCCAAACTTTTTTTTTTTTAAATGGGAAAACCTAAGGGATTCCAAGGAGATGAGTGCTTCTGCACTTGACTGGGGTGTATTCATTAAGTGTGGGAACAGCTATTGGCTCTTTGGTGGCCCTTCTCTTAATGGAAGGTACGAAGAACAAGGAATGTAACTGTGGTTACTGTAAATTATAATGAAGTAGGGAAACATCTCCTTAACTTCAGGCAGGGCAAGGAACTCTGGAAGCACATCCTATTTGTGGATTTTGGAAATGTTTGTACATGGCAATGGCAAGCTGAGGACTTCTCATTAATGACTTGAGTAGGCATCTCTTTATGGTTTTCCCAGCTGCAGGCGAAGGAACCGTCACCTTTGTTTGACCCCTGAAGGCACTGACCCAGAGAGAGGTTGAGTAAGTTGCCTGTGATCATGCAGCTAGAAAGTGATGGGGCAGAGTGGCAAACCAGGCAGTCTGGTACTGAGCTGCTTCTGTGGGGACACTGGCTCTTAAATGCGTGAAGTCTGTCATAAATTCACCTTTGTTTTGTAGGCTGCAATTGTTTAAAGTTCTTGCTGCTGGAGATGGTCCACAGGAAACATCTATTACCATGCTTCAGGGCAAAGTATGGCCCCCACACCTCACCATCCACCAGCTCATCAGGGAGCTGGTTGGAAATGCAAGTTCACTACCACCCATTCCACATTGGTTCTGTGAACGTAGAGACTGGGTGGGGCGGTGGTGGTGGAGTTTAAACCAGGGCTGCAGGTAATTCTGGTGTAAAGTTAAGCCTGGCCGGCAGCTGGAAGCCACTGGAATACATTGTCATTCCGGTATTAGAGTTTTAAAAGAGGGACACGTCTTTGTGAAGTCGGTTGTTGGCCACAATTGCCGTCCTGTGTTTATTTACCTTCTGCAGTTTGAGGAATTTTAAAGTCTGAGACATCTCGGCGATTTTCTCATGTGCCCCTCTGGCAGCGGGTGGGAAAGCTGAAGTGAGCCCAGCCAGGACACAAGGCCCACCGGTAGGGAGTGACCCAGTCTTCACCGTCTCCAATTCCACCTGCTTTCTAAACTCGTAAACTGGTAGCTACTCATCTTGATGCCAGTAACTAGCTCACTAGGGTTTTGCTGTTTTCACAGCACATTTTGAACGTGGGGGTCTAATAAGAGTTGTACATTGTTGGCTCTTGGTGACTACTGAGAATTTTTGAAAAGAATATGTGTTTTTTTTTGTTTGTTTCTGTAAGGAATTTAAAACTACAGAAAAATAAGACAGGAGTAAGGGTGACTTATTTCTACCAGCCAAGTACACCTGCTGACACTGTGCTGGTGCCCGAGTCGTTCCCCTAGGCCTCTTTACGGACACCTGTGTGTACACACACATTTTTTTCTAATAAAACTAATTTAGATTCTGATCCCTTGCTTTCCTGTGGTTGACATTTCTTTATGACACAAAATAATCTTCAAAACATGCTGTGTAGTGAGTGCTGTTTACGCAGTCTTTCACCTCTGCCGGATGGTTTGTTGCTATGTAGTAGGATGTACGGTACATGTCTATACATTTTTGCCATCTTTCCCTTTTCTGTGTTTGTAGAAGTAGAGTGACTGGTGGAAGCCCAAGGGGTTTCACAACAGGATGTGACCAGTTAGCCCTCTTAATAGAAGTTCATGTGCTTAGTTCATTGTCAAGTTTGAGTATCTGAATTAAATTTTTCCAAATAGCAAGTTAAAAATGAGTTTGAATATGCATTTATTTGAGTTATAGTGATGGAACTTTTTTATGTCTATTGACTACTTGTATTTCTTTCAGTTGTTTCTTAATGGATCTTTTTTCCCTATGAGCCACTTACTTTTTTTGAAATAACTTGTAATAGGGCTTATAATATTTTTCCAGATTTTCATTTGTCTCTTCATTGAGTTCAGAGGTTTTAAAATTTGTATATCACAAAGTCCACTGAGTTTTTCTTTTTGGTTTCCCCTGTTGCTTTCGTAGTGCATCTTTTTAAAAATCCCAGCACCATCGAAATCTCCATAAGTATTTTCTTTTGGTTTTCTTGTTGCATTTCTAACAATAAAGGCAGCTGGAATTTCTTTAGCTGTTTGATCTAAGATAGGCCTCACGTTTTTTCCGAGAGGCCGTTTTCCCATCATGGTTTATTGAATAATTCTTCTTCTTCCCCATTATTGGAAATAAGTGGCAAAGCTTGGGAATTGTGTCCAGCTGGGCACTAGATGGCCCATATCCCCCAAGGCTCTTCCCCGCGATGTGCGTGTTCCGCTCCTTGCTCTGTAGTCCTCTGTGCACCCTCAGCCCAGAGGTCAGCAGGTTGGAGGTCAACGGTGAAGGACATGCCTCAGGGATGGGGGTCCAGGAGGATCGGGGCTGGATGCCTTTGTCCCTGCAGACGGGGGGGGGGGGTTCAGCCCTGCCTCCCCGGACTGGCTCAGAAAGGCGGTGCTGTTGTGGAAACTGCTGCTGGTGTCAAGACATGGCCTCTGGAGACTCGGCTCAGAGAGAGCTGCCGCCCTGTTGCGAGGGGGAAATGCGGAGGGCCCAGTACTGGAGTGCCGGGTGGGTGGAGGGCGTGGCTTAGAGATGGTGGCTGCGTTAGTCACTCCAGGTTGTGATTGTGAGTGCATGGAAATGCTTAGTTTTATTTTTTAATGGGCAGTTATTATTTTTCTACAGGTAAGTAACATAGCCAAAAAATCTTTTTTAAAAAAATTTATTTAATTGTTGTTCGAGTACAGTTTTCTGTCTTTTACTCCCATCCCAGCCCACCCCCCAGTGCTCCCCTCCTCCCTCCCATTTTCAACCCCTTTAGTTGTTGTCCATGTGTCCTTTATACTTGTTCATGTAAAATGGGTGAATGTGTATGTAGCTAACATTCTGACCCCTCCAGAGGACTCCCCTCGCCTGTGTATCTCCTAGGAGATGCCTGTTCTGTGGGGCGTGGAGCGCAGGGGCTCCGTGTGCAGCGTGAGTCCTCATCCTGAGCCCCGCCCCTCTTACTGTGGGGCTGCGTCTGTGGGTTTCCCCTGTGGGTGAACTCTGAGCTCCTGCAGTTTTCCGTGTTTCTCTGTCGATGGGTGGCATCCAGGTAGATGCCAGCGGGGGTGGAGGGCGAGTCTGGGCTTTGGGACAGCACGGACTCGGATCCGGTCTTCAGCCCTGCAGACTCTGAGTGGCTACATGCAAGTGATCGCTGAGCTTTAACATTGGGAGGGTGGCGCTGAGAGTGAGTGCAGCTCACCCAGCCCAGAGGCAAGGCCTGCTGTGAGCAGGGGGGCGTCTGAAGGCAAGAGAAGTGTTAGGTCCATTTAGAGACGAATCCTTGTAAGATCCCTGTACAGGTGTACCCTGTTTTATTGCACTTCTTTGTATGTCCTTCACAGATGCTGCAGTTTTAAATTTTTTATTTTTTAAGGATTTACTTTATTTATTTGTAGAGCAAGGGGAAGGGAAGGAGAAAGAGAGGGAGAGGAACACTGATTGGTTGCCTCTTGCACACCCCCTCCCTGGGACCTGGCCTGTAATCAGGCATGTTGAACCAGCAAACTTGTAGTTTGTAGGCTGACGCTCAGTCCACTGAGCCGCACCAGCCAGGGCTATGGATTCAACTTTAAATAAGCCCTTGGAGTCATTCATTTATTCAGCAAAGGCTTTCTGAATGTGTGTGGGATCCACAGGGTGCCTGCCCTCCTGGGGCTCGTGTCCCTCCCCACTTGGCTCCCACCTCAGCTCACACTTGCGGCTTTTCTTCCTTCCACTGGGTCTCACTGCTCCCAGTCTTTCTCTTAAAAGTCCATGCCATCCCCCTCTTTAAAAGCTTCTTGCTGCTCTCCAGAGCAGTTCTTTAGCATGGCATTCAGGATCCTGCAGTATTTGCTTTCCGAGCCTCGCCTTACATC